TTTTATTATGCATTTTGTGCGCCGAATTATGTTCTCTACACATCGAAAAATCTTTCGTTAGCTTCAAAACAAATTAATTGCCCTATCCACTCTTGGTAAGAGTTTTAAGATGCAACTATAAAGGATCGTCCCTTAATGTGAGCCAAATGAAAATCTAGTTGATGATAACTCTTCATTGAAAAATTAACGAGTGTGTTTGAGTGTCACTCTTTTGATAAAATCTTCTTCATTAATGAATATTTACTTCACTTGGTGAGGGTGTAGTTGTTTGATTTTTTTGGATCCACTTCCCTTGGTGTGCTGAGATCGTGGCGGTGATCAGGTGATGCAATTAGACTCACGGGCATTGTACTCCCCGTCCCAATATATGATTGGATTTTTTTTTTCTCACATGATCTTTGTATAACACGAGGTTTAATAGTTTTATTGGTCTGTATAATCTTGCGGTTTTTCTGATGAGCCTGGACGATTGCTTGACATCTACTCATCATTTTACGATTAGTAATGCTTTATTGTAATATTTTTAAATCTAGTTTCTTAATACCCTTTTAGGGCCGAGTTCTTCAGGATATGCATTATTTGTTGAGTTTCAATGTATAAGAAACATCCATTTCAATCACGGTCAGGCATTCGTTCGTAATCAAAATGTAGTTAGGGTATGGTGGTTGCTTCCGTATCAAGTAACACGTAGTATTCATGCATGATTCGTGCTAGATTATGCATTTATTATGAATGCTAGTAGAATTTGATTATGACTTATGACCTTTAAACAAAACATATAATAAGCAAAAATCGCCTTTTAGTTAAAACCGATCCTTGCTAACGACACTTATTTAACCAATTCTCTCTCGATATGTTTTCTCAAAAAGTCCGATTCGTGCATATTCTCCCCCAACTAAAGAAGAGATATTTGGCAGAGAAATGAAGGAAAAGATATTGAGACATTTGCATGTCACCAATTTCTCGAGAAGAGATTGGGAACTCAGTGTCCAACTTGTTCTGAAAGAGATGAAGTTGACCCAGCTCTTTGTTGTTTGAAAAACCCTCTACTTCAATTGGTATTTTTTCACAAAAAGAAAATATGAGATAACAAATCCAATCTTTCACAAAGATTTTGAACAGCTGTCTCGAATTCAAGTTGATTATGTTTCGCCTTTGAATTGATTAAGTATTAGTAGAATGAAAAATGAAAGCAAACAGATTGTGTAGAAACAGTGTCTGGAAATTATTTCCCAAACAAGGTATTTCAAATTTAAATTAGCATGGTCATAAAACTTGTGTTTTTGGCCCCTCATTATCTGTCTGTGTGAGTGTAGAGGTGTAGGTGTCATATTTGGACCAATTACGTTGTCTGATTGTCTCTTTCATTTGATGTGCATTACAGCCTTCTCTAGCTTAAAGCTTGAAGCATGATGACGATGAAGAAAATAATGCCGACTCTATGAGTTTTAGCCACAGCCCACAATTTTTTTTGTGGACCTAGAAATTGAGAAAACAACCCCCTTCGTTTTTCTTTTTCTAGGAAATAAAAAACGCTCGGCGTGTTTCACTAGGAAGTGCCCTATCCCAACTACAAACATTGTCAACGTTGTGATTAATGGATGTAAATGGGATCAGCTATGAAGTTGGCTTTTCTATAAATATGTCACCACTAAAAATAGAATCCAAAGAGGTCGCCGACCATTTTGATGTACTCAAAATAGTTCTGAGCCCTCTAAGAGATCTTGCATCGGTCGAGAACTTATCTTTTGAAATAAATTTGAGTTACTAAATATTACTTGCATTTTCTTTGTTCTTGAAGATAATAAGCACAAGCTATAAGAGACACCATCACAGGCAAATAAGGTTTAAGCGAGTCAGATTACGCGAGATAGCTGAATAATCAAACTACAATCTACACTTCATCGCACTCAGCGGTTTGAGAGAACTGAAACTCGTGATAGAACACATTTCGTGGTTCTAATACCCTAACTCAAATGAAACATTAAAAATTAAAATAAACAATTCGAAGAACAAGAGACACAATCACTATGAATTTAGAACACAATGTCAAGTTGTTTGCCCAACCAACAGGTTAAAACTCTCTTCCACTATATTGTTTAATTTCCCAATTTAATTTCTTATTTATTTTTTGTATGGTTGGACTTGGGAAACAAGAAAGAACCCACCACCTTATCCTCCACCGCCAACAAAAGAAAAACAAAAAAAAACATAAAATCCCAGAAGGTCATATAAAACTTATTTTATATGTTTCCTGGAACCACCACCAAAAGATATACACAGTGTCCCAACTACTCCATAATTTGGCTGCCGGAGATGGGGACGCCCACAAACCAAATATCAAGCTTCCAGATTGATTGGATTTTATTTTATCTGTGTGCACGATATCTTCTGAATTATATTATTAAAAATAAATCAAACATATAATTTAAGGAAAATCAATGAAAAAAATTTGAAAATTTTGAGTTTTAACGATAAGAACAAAATAAAGGGTAAAATAAATAGTACCGGAATTAACTTTTTAATGTAAAAATATGATTTTTAGTTAAAATGAATAGTACCGAAATTTTTTTGTTAAAGTTCCTTATAATTTAAGGTGATTATTATTATGTGTAGATTTGGGGTGGAAATCATGATTCGTGGAACACATGACTAATAAGTGGCCTCTTGTTTTTGTTGAGAAATTTAAATGTGGCTTTCAGCAACTGGCAGCCGAATTAAGCACGTTAATATGGGTTTAATTATCGGCCCTAGCCGTAAACAAAGAAAATATTTTCTGCCGCCGGACTCCGCCTTTGGTTTTGGGGTAATCAATCTTCTACACAATCATTCTTGTGTCTTTCCTCTTTTCTTTTTAATTTTTTTGTTTTGTTGTAGAGTAGTCGTCGTGATAATCATCGAATTTTGGCCCACGCACACAGTGAATATACAGCTTTGAATCCAGTTATCACCTTCGATATAAGGTTGAAACCATAAGCCATGGAAGATGTCAAATGGTGTCGAGATCAAGTTTAGTCGGTCCAGTGATCTGGTTGTCAGATGTTCGGAGGAAATGGGGCAACGACATTGTTTTATCCTTTTATTTTGTTTTTGTTTAATAATTTCCAAGAATTGTCTTGGAGTTTGGTTTTGCTTCATTTTAATTTTCGTTTTGTTGTGTTGCATCTCTTTTGGATCTTGTGTGAAGAATGGAGCTATTTGATTCGTTGAATCTACTCCACTTAGTGTTATGGAATCAGGCGGTGATAAATTTTTGTTCTTGCATGATCTTTGTGTGACGTGAGATTTAACGATTTTATTAATCTATATAATCTTGTGGTTCTCGATGAGCGCATACTAGTGCTTGATATCTACTCATTGCTTGTGATTGATGATGGTTGTTGTAATAGTTTTAGATCTACTTTGCAATGACCGTTTTGGGACCAAGTTCTTCATGATATGTATTTGTAATGTCCTTTTTCAATAAATGAAATATTGTACTTTTCTTTTAAAAAAAATGAAATTTAATTTTGTTTGATGACCAAGGCACAAAGTGAAGTGATAGGAAGCGGTCAAACTAGAGTTGGAGCTATGCCTCTCTATCTATAGGACAACATATTCTTAGTGTAATATGACACAATCACAGAGCGTTATTAGTTCAGCCATATAATATAACTTGTGTTATTTGGTTAGAGAGTTCTTTATACGTCTCTAATTTTCATAAAAATCATAAACTCATCATACATGCATGTTATCACACGAAAACTAAAATAATCTGGCAATCACGTACCCGCATCAGGATCCCCTCCCACCTTGAATTGTTTCCATTGTTAGTTTGAGTGGATGATGACATGTGGTGTGGTGTGGTGGTGGTGGTGGTGGTCCTGGTGGTAGCTAGAGGAGTTTGGGTTTTTGCTTTTGAGGGCAAATAGATGAATATCATACAAAAAAGCAGACAGATAATTAAATGAAGGGGGGCTGTCGAAAGTGTGAAATGTCAGTATGAAAGTGAGTGTGTTTAGTATGTGGTGGTGGTGTTGACTATAATGTCTCCATGAATTTTTCAATGTGTTAATTATGTGCATGTAACGCTTTTGGAGCCTAGCTTGGTTTGGACTTTCTTCCTCTTGATATTCCTTGCTTGGTCAAAATTAACCCCGTTCAATTCAATACACGTTTAATAACAAAATAGTGTGAGTTAATGCGACGATAAATCACACGTTTGGTGGTTAAGAAAACGTGAAATGTCTCGGTGAATCTTCCTAACTCTTAAAAAAATGAACTGCGTGACTAAACCATCAGTTAGTCCCTAAAAAAGAGACTTAATGGTGGAATTAGAGACAATCAATGAGTTAATAACGACTTAACAAAAAGTTCCAATGGGAAGAAACCAAGTAAGAAGTTGTTGTCCCCTGTGTATTGGCGTTCCCACTTACTCTTAATAGCTCAACCCATAAAAGACCATGCATTCATTCCTCAAGAAAATTAGGGAAAACCATTGACTTGACCAATTCTTACTTTAGTAGTATGTGTAGTTGGCATCAGTTTTAAAAACATCCACCAACTCTTACTTACTTTATTTATTTAGTATTACAGTCCGGTGATATTCTTGTTTTGAGAGGTTTTAGGTTTGATTTTCATCAATGACGAATTTGAACCACATAATTGCTAACTCATTGTGTCCGAAAATCAAGAATTGATAAACCGAGCGTGAAAATTGATACGAAAATTGAAACATATTATTGGGGTTGGTTGGGCCTTTATCTCTAGGGGTTTAGTACTTCGGCTCCACACTCACGGCAAGTATTAAAGTGAAGCCCAATTTGAGTAAACAAACAACTCAGTTGTCTTGGTCAACGATAAATAAATATCTATGGGAAACACCGAAGGAAGGACAAAAAGGTAAAACAATGCATGACAGCAGAGACGTTGACGCCTGGCGCGAAAAGAGGAGGAAGTAGCCGCCAGCTCCAGCCGCCTTCCAAGTCTCTGCGTTCCCACTTTCCGTCTTTGGGGGGAGTCCTCGCAATTCAATATCCAGGCCTTCGTCACTGAACCCAACGAAGAAGGTGAGTCGCTTTCAGCAAGCAATCAACGCATTTAACCAAAACAAATATTCCAACTTTTTGATTAACTAGTTGTTAAACTTAATTAATTTAATTTAATTAAAAGATTAAACAAAGAATTCAACTTTGTCTCCGTCTCTCTCTCTCTCTCTCTCTCACATCGTTGAATCCTCAAAACCGGAGACTCCAATGGGTCGTCGCCCCAATCTATCAAAACCCTTCAACACTCCCCAAACCTTGACCTCTCTCTCTCCAGCCACTTATTCGCCGTCCGGTTGGGTTCGTTCCCAAATCGATGGCTCTCAATGGGTCTCGCTCCGACCCCCAATCAGCTGCCGAGAAGGCCGTCGCGGTGATCGGGTCCGGGTACAATCTCTGCAACGATATCCGGCTCACCGCGTGCAAGTCCATGCTCATCGAGCTGGACTCGACCCGGACCCGCGACCTCGTCGTCCCTGGTGGTCCCGTCGTGCCCGACGTCTCCACCTCCATCAGGTGCGATAAAGGCGAGCGCACCAGGTTCCGCTCCGACGTCGTTTCGTTTAATCAGGTATGTTATTTTCTTCTTGGGAAATGAAATTCATTAACTTTTTGCTTCTTCTTTTTTTGGCGCGAATTGGTTTCTGGGTGTTGATTGCAGTTGTTTCTTTGACTGGATGGTGATGAAGAATTGGAGAAATTCGATTTTTTAGTTTTTTTTAATTTTTATATTACAAGTTTGAAATGGCATATGTTGAAGTGGATTTTGTTTAATATTACAATTTATGGACTTATTTTTTCATGTTAATTATCATGGTGTTGGGAAATTTTGAATTAATTGTGGTAGAAATTGAATCACAGAAACTCAAATTTGAAATTTCAGTTCATATCCTCACACATTTTTGTATTCGATCGTTCAGATAGTGTTCTGTTTTGATCCATCAGACATTGCTGGTGCCTTACTTCTTACTCGAGTCGATTAACTGGACTCTGGTGATTGTTTGTTTGACTCTTAACAGTATCTGCATTGTTTGTATTTCCAGATGTCAGAGCAATACAACAAGGAAGTGTCCCTATCGGGCAAAATTCCGTCCGGTCTGTTTAATGCTATGTTTAACTTCACTGGCTGCTGGCAGAAGGATGCAGCTCCAACAAAAGCTCTTGCTTTTGATGGTTGGTTGATAACTCTGTATAACATTGAGTTAGCAAGATGCCATCTAAAACTATCCCAGCATGTGATACAAGAAGTGCCTTCTACATGGGACCCTGCTGCCCTTGCTGAGTAAGATTTCGTCTGATAGCTCAATACTTTGAATTTTGCATATTAATGTTCTTCAACATTTTCTTCCATTGTTCAATGCGCACAACACTTTCGTTGAGTTAGACACTTGAAACTATATTACAAAGAAGTTTATGGATGCAGTGTAATTGATTGAAATAAGCACCCGAGCGTGGATATAGCTCGCATATCAGAGATGATAATATAGAGGATTAAAATCGGAATGAATATTGTTTCTCTTGCTGGATGGTTATTTATCTACATTTTCCAGCTAAGGATACAACTGTTTTGTGCCACTGTATGGTGATGTATAATAATTTGAATTCCAGGTTCATTGACAAATACGGTACTCATATTGTTGTTGGGGTGAAAATGGGTGGAAAGGATATAGTTCACATGAAGCAGTTACAAAATTCAAATCTTCATCCCACAGAAGTGCAGAAATTGTTAAAGCAATTAGCCGATGAGATGTTTTCTGAAAATGCAACTGGATCAGAGTCCGATGGTTTATCAGGAAAAACGAAGGTAAGCAGAATTTTTAATTGTATAACCTTGCCTCTTTTTTCTTGGACTTTTTATGCGCTTATGTTTTATCTTGATACAAAATTATGAAAATGGAAGTTGTGGAAATTGAGGAGGTGACTTACTTTTACTGTAATGTTTATGCCCTTTGTTTCAGGATGATGACTCTATGCCCCGGGAGGTTCGTAGAACGCATGCGGCCCCAATAAGGCCACCTACTGTCAGACAAATAAATGATGTACGCATTTTGGTATCCATTTTAATGTGAAACAATCAACCTGCATTGGATGGATGAAGATATCTTGATGTTGTTTGTTTAATGCAGGGTATAATTACTGTCTGTGTTCGAAGGGGAGGTGTTGATATTGATCAAAGTCATAACAAGTGGCTTTCAACCGTATCACAGTCACCTAATGTCATATCGATGTCCTTCGTGCCCATAACCTCTCTGTTGGGTGGTGTCCAAGGAATTGGATTTCTAAGCCATGCAGTGAATCTCTACCTTAGATGTGCGTATCCCAGTTAGCTAAATTACTTTCTCATAAAAAGTCTGAATGCACTCATAATTCTATGATAAACCTTGCAGACAAACCACCAATAGAGGAACTCCAACTATTTTTGGAATATCAGTTACCACGTCAATGGGCTCCGGTGTATGGTGATCTTCCTCTCGGTCTCAGGCGCAGAAAACAAGTATCCCCATCACTGCAATTCACCTTTATGGGCCCAAAGCTATATGTTAACACTTTGAAGGTAAATATCTTGTGATGTAAAATATTTTGACATATTAGTTGTTGATAGCATGTTGGGAATTCCTTGTTCCTTGAAGACTTCCATTGCATATGTTTTATCAAGCGATGGACTCTTAAGAAATCCCTTAAAACTGGAAAATTGCTGTGTCAATGAGTTGAAAAGATGCGCTATTCTTTGGCTCGATTTTCAGAAAATGAAATGTCTTTTGTGCAACTGCTGTTTTATTGTTCACATTTTGATCGGTTCCATTACTCAAGCGTATTATTACATACACTAGTTCATCTTTGGATTGTGGTTTCTAATGTTACAATTTTCAGGTTGATACTGGAAATCGACCGGTGACAGGAATGCGTTTGTATCTTGAAGGTAAGAAAAGTGACCATCTGGCAATCCATCTCCAGCACCTTGCAACTCTTCCCGATACTCTCCAACTCTCGTACGATCACAGTTACGAGCCCATTCACAAGCCAGAGGAACGAGGCTACTTTGAACCTGTCAAGTGGAGCATATTTTCACATGTATGCACTGCCCCAGTAGAGTACAACGGGGCCTGTATTGATGACTCTGCATCAATTGTGACAAAGGCCTGGTTTGAAGCCAAGGCCATCGGAATGAGGAAGGTTTTGTTCTTGAGGCTTGGATTTTCAACGGTGGCATCTGCAAAAATCCGCAGATCAGAGTGGGAAGGACCCTCGACGACTTCTCGAAAATCAGGATTCATCTCAACCTTGATCAGCACAAGGTTTAGTACGGCATTGAATCCACCTGTGACACCAGCAAAAGTGGATTTGAATTCAGCAGTTTACCCTGCAGGGCCACCTTTACCAAGCAAGGCACCAAAAATGGCGACGTTTGTAGATACCAAGGAAATGTTGAGAGGTCCTGAGGACTCGCCAGGATATTGGGTGGTCACCGGAGCCAAGCTTTGTGTAGAGGGAGGCCGAATCTCGGTGAAGGTGAAGTATTCATTGTTGACAATAATGTCGGAGGATTCTATGAATTAAGAAATCAGAAAGTTACAAAACACTATACTTTTGTTGTAAATGTTATACCATGTACATCATCCATTCTTAAAATCGGTTTGAAGTCCTGCCGCAGTGACATCCTTGTTGCATGGAAGTTCTCTTAGCGTCCATACTTTGAACGCCGTTAGATTATAGAAACTATTTAGTTCTAAAGCTGTGTAAGAACAATCTCCTTATTCAAAAACAGAAAAGAACAACTCTTAATTTATTAAAATTACACTGTAATAGTACATAAAATGGTACAAAAATTCGGTTCGAATTCGAAGGAAGAAGTAAAAGTTCGTTGCAGTTATGTCACCAATAATCCCCACAAGAGCAAGAACCATCTCTGAAATGATGGAATCTATTGACGTCCCTCACAATAATCTCCCTGGAAACTATTTTACTGATGAACTTGAGTGCTGTGTGGCAGTCCACGCATACTCTTAGATTCTTCTTCACCCTAATGGGAGCTCCCCGCGGAGTGGCAATCAACGCGAAAGCCACTGCAAGCTTCTCGCTGTGGTAGCGCAGAAGCCGCTGCTTTTCACTTTGTTCCACATCATGGAGGTCCATCTCCACCATTGGAACATAGCCGGCTTTATACATTAGGTCGAAAAGCTCATCGAGTTTCGCATAAATTTCATCACTTCTTGAATGGTTTCTATCTCCTACTATAAACGTGTGTACCTGGTCTTTGACCTCAATCCAACTCATCCCAGGTTCCTTCTTTACCTGGTCATCTTTCATAAGTTTTCTCATTTTCGCCACATTATCCCACATGCCGGCTGATGCGTAAATGTTTGCAAGAAGTACATGAGTACCAGATTTCTCGGGCTCAAGAACTAAGAGCATTTCAGCAGCGCGCTCGCCAAGCTCAACATTTTTATGGATTCTCGCAGCACCAAGAAGTGCCCCCCAAACAGATGCGTTCGCTTGAAATGGCATTGTGTTGACAAGCTCCATTGCCTCATTTATCTTCCCTGCTCTGCCAAGGAGATCAATCATGCAAGCATAATGCTCTTGCCTCGGCACAACTCCAAACAACTCTCTCATGGACTCAAAATACTTTTTGGCTTCCGTTACCAAACCTGCGTGATTGCACGCACAGAGGACACTTACTAAAGTAATATGATTGGGGGGAACGCCATCCTTGAGCATCTGAGTGAAAAAGTTTAAGGCCTCTCTTCCATGCCCGTGTTGAGCGAGTCCTCCAATCATTGCAGACCATGAAACTATTCCTCTCTCAGGTACCTCAGCGAAAGCACGATCTGCATCTTCTATGCTTCCACATTTTGCGTACATGTTAACAAGAGAGTTCCCGGCAAAAGCATCAGACATGAATCCGAACTTGAGAATGTGAACGTGGATCTGTTTCCCTTGCTCGTATGCAGACAAATTTGCACAAGCATTCAGAAGAGAACTGCATACAAATGAATCTGGTTTGTTTTCCCTCTCCAGCATTTGCAAGTAGAGTTTTAGAGCTTCTTCTCCTTGTTCATATTGCGAATAGGCTGTGATCATCGATGTAAAAGCCACCACGTCCTCAATTGGGCATTCTTTAAAAATTCTTGCCGCGTCTTCTACTTTGCCGCATTTTCCATATGTATCGAGAAGGCTATTTATAACATACATATCAGATTCGAAACCTGTTTTGACAGAAAGTGCATGAACTTGTTCACAAACATCTATGGCCTGCAAGCTCGCCGTGGCTTTGAGGACTGTAGATAAGGTAGTCTGGTTAAATTCTACCCCCTCCTTATACATTTCAGAAAAGAGGGATACCGCTTCTATATCTTCCCCATTCTGCGAATGTCCTGAGATCACAGCATTCCATGCAATCATGTCCTTCTTTGGCATCATATCGAAAAGAACCCTTGCATTGCTCATCATCTCACACTTGCAATACATATCTATCAGTCCAACATTGACAAATGAATCTGATTCCGTATCCATCTTTATCAAGAACGAGTGCAACTGCCTACCCAATTTCTTGAACCCCAGTCCGGCACAGGCTTTAAGTGCGCTCGATAATGTGAACATATTTGGACGGATTCCTGACCCTTTCATTTGCCTAAAAAATTTTAGAGCCCGACCATGGTACTCGTGAAGAACACAACCAGCAATAACAGCATTCCAGGAAACAATATCGGGCTGTTCGATTTTCTCAAAAACTGTCACTGCATCTTCAAGACTTTTGACTTTGGCATACATGTCAACAAGTGCATTTGCTGAGAATGAGTCAGATTCATATCCGAGCTTTATCATATATCCATGAATTTTCCTTCCTCGACTGCCATCCCCGAACCCAGTGCATGCGTTTATTATACTAGACAGACTGTACTCATTAGGTCTTACTCCGCTCAGAACCATTTCCTGAAACAAATCCATTGCTTCTCCATGGAAATCACTCTGCACATAACAAGAAAACAACGCATTCCACGAAACAACATTCCGCTCTGGAATTGCATCAAAGAGCCTCCTGGAATCCCCAAACTCACCACATTTCGCATACATTACCACCAAAGTATTCGCAACAAACTCATCGGACTCAAACCCTGTAAGCAGCGCAACCCCGTGAACCTGCGTCCCCAATCCCAAATCTTTAGTAATAGAGCACGCCTTAAGAACACTCGGAAACGTAAACTCATTACACTTAACACCCAACGAGTGCATCTCACGAAACGCCGAAAGGGCTTCTTTACCAAGCCCATTTTGGGCATACCCAGATATCAAAGCAGACCAAGACACCAAATCTGGTTCAGGACTTTCATCAACCAGTTTCCGGGCGTGCCTGAAAAACCGACATTTCGCGTACAAATTGATCAGATGGTTCCGAAGATTTGGGTCTTCGGAACATCCGAATCTGATCATGTGGGCATGGATTTCCCTGCCCACACCAACAGATTTGGAAGCAGTGCATTGTGACAAGAGCTTAGAGTATAATACAGAAGTGGGTGTGAAATTAGGGTTTAGGGTTTTTGCCTCAGTGCTGAATTGAACTGAGGTTTGGATGGGTTTAAATGGCAGGTAAAGCCGTTGGGGAAGAGGGTTTTGGAGGGAATCGAGGAAGAAGAAAAGCTTCACGGTCCATTTGATCATCGACTATTTTCTTCTGGGTTTTTTACACCTGTGTAAATACATTGGCTGGATCACCGTAAACGTTCAACACCCGGTAACTTTAGCGTCTTAAACCCACGCTTATTATATCCAAAGAAAGTTTGTTGTTTAACCATCACGGTGACTCAGTGGTTGAGACGAAATTTAGACTTGTATTCCACACGATACGTTTTATGTTCGATTCTAAGCATTGGTAATCACACGATGGTGTTAGGCGGAGACATTGAATTCGATTTTTAACGCTAGTAAACATACAATGGTGCTGAGGCTGAAAAGCCTCTATGAGTCTTTCCAACCTCTGAAAACACAAATTGTCGAGACGAAGGGGCTTTTAGATCTAGGTCCAAAAACATGGATGATTTTTAGGAGTGGGTCCAGTTATTTAATTACATGTTTTTATTTCTTTTATACTCATTTTATATTTTTTTAAATATTAAAAATCAATTAAAATCTTCTAATATTATGCATTTTTTAACTCCAAAAAATTATAATTAATATCTTACAACAAAAAAACTAATATACTAACATAAATGATCTACAAAACATTCTACCTTAACTCAAGTAACAAATATATGAATATATATTATACATGTAAGCGAGTTATGAAACTTAACAAAAAGGTAGGAAAAAACATAATATACCTACAAGCAAGAAATATTAATTTGTGACACGTGATTATAAAAAAGAATCTGTCACATAGATACATAAAAATAATTAACCTATGATATAGATTGATTATAAAAATTAAAAATAAAATCTATAAATGAGGTTTAAAGCGGGAGGAAGAACAATAAACAACAAAAAAAAAAATCAAAGATATAATTAGAAAGAAATTTGATTTTTATAATAAACCTTATCATTGAATAGATATTGATAATAAAATAATTAAATTTAAGGAATTGGACTTATTTTAATAAATTAAACTATTTCTACTATTGGCTAAAAAAATTGGACTAATATCAAGATTTCCCTAAAAGAAATAATTTTGTTGTGTTTGGTTGAAAGCTTGGGCTACAATATAAAAATGTCAGGAAGGTCCACCAAATTTCACTATAATATAATCACAGATGAGTTGAATAATTCGCTCATTTAATTTCACTATAAGCATATGATCATGAAGGTCCACCAAATTAAGAAGTCTCTTAAGGGGTGGACCAAAAGACCAAAAAGACCATTTTATCATCATGACTTGATTAAGGTACAATCCGACCGTACTCCAAACTTCTCAGGCAGGAATTGGATCAAATTTTACAAGATGGTTAATTAAGCACACAAAACTTCACATCTATTTGCAAACCACACTGAACAAAATAAATACGTTAATTAACACTTACTTATTCAACGTCAACAATCACGTAATATAATTTACAAAATATAATCAAATAGATGATTTGCCTAGGATTGCCCCTTTGTTACTAAATAGAGAATCTGCTTGAGCAATACTTGGGATCTCGAGCCTTTACATTTAGCGTCTGGTCTGGTGAATTTACACATTAGCTTTCTTTGTCTACCACCCAACAAATCCCAGAAAACTGGAAAACAAACAAACAAAACATGTAAATTAGTACATTTGAAGATAAGAGACTAACAATTTCCAGTCCAGAAAAAGGAAGTAAGAAGGAGATGAATAATTCCGACAATATGGGGAGAATTACAAAACCCTACACAGATTGATCAGCAAACATATATAATACTAAAATTAATCAATAAAAGGATTGAAAAATCTGATGAAGGGGATGATTAGAAGGAGACGATCATGATCATATATATTATTAGTGATTAATTAATCACCTGAGAGATCGAACAGCAAGGTGTTGGGTAAGAAGGTGGAACAAGAAACTGGCTCCGTGAAAGAACACCACAACTCCGGTGCACCCCAACACAAACAGCTCCACCGCCATCTTTCTCTCCGTCTTCCTCCTTAATTTTATAATTCAGACCCTTCTCCTCCTGAATAAGACTCACAGAGAGAGAGAGAGAGAGAGAGAGGCTAAATGTTTATCCACACTTTTTTTTTTCCTTTGTCCGCATGTTTTTTGTCCTATATATTTAATTGCATATACAAGTTGATGCAAATTTGACTTGTACTGCTTTCGATTTCCATCCCAAGGACGGGAATTCATGCCAGTGTGTGAGAGTAGAGAGATTTTCTAGTGACTGGAACAAGAAACAGTACGTTATATGTCATTACGTAATTAGAGAGAATTTTTTAAATGTTGAATAACATATGATATGTTACTTTGTATTCCAATCATGCTGAAAGATCTTCATAGGATAAGCCTTAGATTCGAAATGTAATGATTATTTTAATTTTTAAACAGCACATATTGAAGAGGATAAAATTGAACTTACGACACATGAACGTGCATATTTTTTAGGAAACTTTAACGAAATGTTTTAGGTACGGTTCACTTTAACGAAAAACCATATTTTTACATTAAAAAATCAATTATTGTACTATTCACTTTACCTTTTATTTTTCAAATCATTTTCATTAGTGTTTCTTTTTTTTTAATTGTTTTGAGATAAAAACTTTTTTTTTTAAAATTAAAAAAAAAACGATTATCAGCTCACATTTTTTAAAGAATTTTAACGAAAAACTTCCAATACTATTCATTTTAATGAAAAACCATATTTTTACACTAAAAAATTAATCATTTTATTATTCACTTTACTTTTTATTTTTTAAGTCTATTTTATTAGTTTTTCTTATTTTTTAATCGTTTGAGATAAAAACTCTTCTTTTTTTTTTTTTTTTAATTTTTTAAAAAGCTATTATCAGCGCCCTAAGCGAAGGCATTGTCTAATATACTTGTAGTGACATCAATACCAAGTTGTGGTCGTCCAATCCCTGTGGTAGCTAGGGATGGGCATTCTGTTTGGTAGTAAACCCACGTCAAGATCAAGCCATGGTTTATCCATTTTTCTATCCTACCAATAATCTCATCAACCACGACCACGTCACCTATCTGACCAACAAAGATTAACCGACTAATAATCACATCTTACTTAGTTTCACCGTTATGTAGATTTGTGCACAAATTTTCCGGCCAAAAGAACAAAGGGGCACCAATGATATTACATTCAAGAACTTGCCATACCAGCCGATGTAGAAATTTTCGATGATACTAGATTCAACAACAGAATGCAGTGAAAGTCTTCCTTGGTGATCAGAAGATTCAGAACTGAATTTATCTGCTGAATAACTTCATTCACCCGTTTATCATGTACAAAGCCGTAAACTATATCATAAATTAATCTTCTCCATTAACTAAAACAACGAATATTACTTCAAAACGCAAACAATAGACACGTTATTTTGATCAAGCACTCATAGCTACGCTCATACAAGTTCCCCTTAACAAGATTTTGAATAACTGATCACTTTTATTATATCATAGAAACAACTTACTGTCTCCAATTAGTCACCCAACAGTGTTGAGAGAAACAGATCTTGCATGAAACCAGCTCTTCCAGTAGCTTGTCGAATCCTTTTCTCCCGCTCTTCATAACTTAAGGAAGGATCAAAACTGCGAAATAGAGAGACAGAGAGAGACTGAGAAAAGAGAGAGAGACATATTTCAGATCCAAAGAACAGCATTCAAGAGAGACAGAGAGAGACTGAGAAAAGAGAGAGAGACATATTTCAGATCCAAAGAACAGCATTCAAGGCTCTTGCGCATGCGTTAATCCGGAAAGACGGGGAATCAGATCATCCTCCTCACCATCAATAATCCGGAAAGATGGGGAATCATTGGATCATCCTCCTCACCACCAACAGTTCTGACTACATTACTATAGGACCAAGCTTAGTGATTTTTTAAACCAAAAATTTTGATGCACCCATAACACGCACAACGAGTTTTTGCATGAAAGAAAGAACCATACATGAAATAATAAATTTACGCTACACATTGGAAGGTAGCAACCAGGTAATAATCAGCATTCAAACAGTTGTGCGATGGTGAGAACTATGTAATGCATCATAATTGAAAAATTAAATGGCGATAGAAAGATGCAGCCCAAGTCAATTACAACATAGTTCGTAATAAAGGTGAAATGGTACCTTGATTTCCAAATATGAGATGGCACCGCATTCTTTGCGGAACTGTCCTCATTAGTGGTTACCACAGATTTTGAAATTTCATCCGCTCCTGATGCAGGGAAATTTAAAATAAGTGATGACAGGAATGGATCGGTTGCTGCTGCATTAGACACGTTGGCATTTTCTGATCGATATCCACCGCTCCCTAGAAGCACCTGGAGATGCGCCTCACGAAGATCCCGTCCAAGGAGAGACAGCGCCTGACTATTAGGAACAGCAACTCTACGCAATCTGCGACATCTCTGCAAGTGGTATTCAGTCAAGGAATAAAAGAGCAATCAAGCCTTTGTACATGGATATATTGTCAGGAATACCAATTCACTAAATTCCAGTTTAAAGGATATCTTGAACAAGTGTCCGTGCTGCAGTGTGATATGACTGAACATGTCTCGTGCAACTTTAACGGAGCAAATGGGACAAACCTGCAAAAACGAGAAAGTAAAAACAGCATAAATCCTTCTTGCATGAAATATCGACGAAAATAAAAATAAAATATAGATGAAAACCAGAAATCAGTCGGTATCATCTGCCATCAATTTCAGGGATCAAAATATTTGAGGTTGCTTGAGCAACAAGAGTTCGAATAAATTTCCTATTTCCTTAGGCATTCTACAAAATCCGAAAATGCATTTCCCAGCTTGTTTGAGTTGTCTGAAGATAAACCAGCTACACATTTCAGTCTATGGAAGGGTCTATCAAATAAATCATCATTCGGCACTCCTCCCTTTATTTATATCCCTTGATTCTTCGCTTTATCAATGCAAAGGCAAGAATCAGAGAGATAGCGATGCGGAGTGACAAAATGGGAGTGCGAAAATCAGTCATGTCACGCATTTGACCAACAAAATCCATTTTCAGCTAAGACATGCATCATATGCTTGCATATACAAGATGTACCCGATTTAGCTGATCTCTGAAATTCGGTTGTATTTAACTCCTCATGCAATCAACCGAAAACAAGAAACAAAATCAATTCGTTTCACCATGGTATGAATCCTTTCAAACATTTCAGGAAAAAGAGAACCATAATCTTTGTTCTTTCTTTCCCTAAGAGGAAAAGGTACGATTTTTAAGCAGTTATGTAGTGGCATGCTTCCTTTGATGAATCAAAAAGTCAATCAACGATTTCCAAATTGGGTAATAACATTTGACCGACACGAAAAACAAAGATGATAACTTTGTCTTCCAGAGGAACCAAATCATGAAACTTTATGCGACAAAAACCAAATCGAACAGAAAAAAAGACAATAAGTAAGAACGTACGGTGGTTTTAGATTCGCAGGAGTGCTCGTCTTCGAGATGGGAGCACAAGGACGCGATGTCGAAGTCCTCGTAGCAATACGGGCACGGGAAGTCGGGTCGGACATCGTCTTCTACCTCGAAATCATCGATGCTTAACCGATCTATAATATTTATTTTCCAAGAAATTAATTTAAAAAAAAAAAGATGAAAAACTAGTAAATAGAGATGAGAAATGAAAAACAAGACCAAAGGAGGAAGAGGGGCGTACGGACCGAAGTGGGAGCTCTGGTGGTGGTGCTGCAGCGTGTACTGGCGTTTGGCGGCGGCGAGGCGGGAGGTCCAGAACTCGGCGTCCATTGAAGACGGATTCGACTCGACTCGACACGGTTCGATTCGATCGATCAGGTGCTAAAGCTGAGCTCTTTGATTGATTTTAAATTTTAATTCTGGATAAAAGATTTTCTTTCAAATTATAGAAAATGTTTAATTTGTAAAGCCGGTGGTTGTTATTTGGGTTTTTCTCTCTCTCTCTTTCTCTCTCTGAAATATTTGTTGAAGTTTTGATCTCTGTGCTCCAAAATACCAACGGAGAAAGAGAGACGGTGAGATATTTGAGGAGGAAGGAGGCCGGAAGCATATATAAATAGAATTATATATATAAATTTATTTAGAAACTAAAATATTCTGGATATATGAAGATTCTGGAAGCATATAAATAAATAAATAAATACTATGGATAATTAGACGACTGACTTTAAATGTTAATTAAGGGTAATTAAGTGCAGGAATAATATTTAATTTATGTGGTCAGCACTGAGTGTCGGAGCCGACGTACAGCAAATGCGAAAAGATATCGCATTTCTCGTCCTTGTATATATAGTTTTGGCGGTCTAATTAAGACAATAAACCGCCAATGGGATATTTGAGAGGCAAACTAACAAAAGTTCAAAAAAAATTTAATTTTAATGAAAAAAAAGATAAATAAAGCTGTAATGAATAGTATCAGAAAAATATAAAAATATGATATTCCGTTAAAATGATCCGCACCAAAAATGTTTCGTTAAATATCTCTTATTTTAGTAATGAGATTTGGGACGAAATAATCAGGTGGGGATCTTCTCAAAATCTAGACTCAGTTAATTATTATCATATGAATTCTTTCATTTTGTTCACAAATTGGAGTGGATGTTTTCACTTTACTCGAGGAAAAAAAACTTTAGTAAAACTGCCATTCAAAATTGAATCCGTAACCGTATTAAAAATTGTAACTATGTATATCAAATGTAATTTAAATAGTCACATTTTCTTCTTCAACGTGCTTTTTTTAAAAGGAGACTAACTAGTGATTTTGTCACAGCAATCTATTTTAGGTGATCAAAAGACTCATAAAAACATTTCAACCTCTCCCTGATCACCATCATATGATTTCCCAACGTCGAGAATGAAATCCAAAACATATCATGTGAAATACGAACATGAAATCCATCACTAACCACTGTGCCACTCCATGGTGGTTTTCATATTGGGAGTCTTGATTGAATTTGGTTCTTCATATTAGGAGTCTTGATTGAATTTGGTTACAGGTAGTCAAACTGCTTTCAACTTCCTTTGAGATTTATCTTTCAAAATTTAGTCTCAAAAGGACTTACGTGTAGGTCAATCAGAAATTTGGCCGGTTCATGAAGTCAAACTTCTCACCCTACGTGGACCAAGGAGGTCAGACGACTTGGTCAGCTTTCTCCAAGTCCGACCGACCACTGCGTTAGGTGAAACATAATTAATAGAAACTACCGTGCTTCACGGTAAGATTGTTTAGGGGTTTCAAACAATTCGGGGACAGAAACTTCAGTAAAACTGAAATGGAACTACCAAAACGCAAGGGGCTCTGTTTGTGAGAGCAGCCGGTCAACTTCCATAGTCCGGCTGCTCTACACGTGGTCCACCCTAGCGGTCTCCACAACTTCACATGGAATATGTTAAACTGGCTTATCCCTTACCTAAAACGCAAAACATATCAAGAAGACCGGAGATTGGAAATTGCATCAAAACGTTTGACCTCAACCTCGTCATATCATCGGGATTCCAAGATCGAAAAATTAATTATAAAGACAACGTAAATCATCATCATGGCATCTACTTACGTGAATGATTGTAGAACAAGTATAATTCTGTGGATTAAACTAGGATGAAGCATGCCTCAAGTCTCAAGCAAGTCCTACAAAGTCCACTGAAATCCATGAAAACTACGACCGATGCACTGCATCCCAACAGATAACAATCATCCATCTACAATGAAAGAAAAGAAACACGTAAATTTTATGAAGACTGAGAAACTTGCAGCCATTATGGCCAATAATTTGCAGTTCATATGAAAGCGTAGTACGTGATTGGACAAAAGCAGGAGTTCAGACATTTGTTTCCAAGTAAACAATTAGGTTCACAACTTAAATTTCATAAGCAAGGTAAACAGAAGTGCAACGTGGTAAGTCTCCGAGCCAAATTTTGAAGTCTGCTAATGAGGAATCATCACAGCCCTAAACAAAGAAACAGGCATAGTCAAAAGACGAGAAGCAGCTTCGGAAGGATTTGGAAACAGAAGGCCAAATTAGAGGGAAGAATACAATTAATATTCTACGTCCAGGGTTGTCTATATGAGTTAGAATCAAAGTTGAAGCAAAATATGATTATGCAATTAACAGATTTCGGCATGTAGAAGAATCTAACACACCCATAACCCTTGAAATTTGACACCAAAAGTGACCAATTATTAGCCAGGCAGGATAGTGTATCTTCTAGTAAAGAGTAAATATGTGATTTATACAGTTATCGTACAAAAAACTCAATGAAACCATCAACTGAAGTGAAACCGAAATGTACAAAAGTGCAGTTCTTGACCTAATTAATTGGGAAACACTATCATTGTTGTCATTTTTCATCACCATCATCACACTACAAATAGATAAAATACTTTAAACCAAAAACCCATTAGGAAGCACCAATTTAATTTTTAGTTCCTTTTACATCAAGAAATTTAAGAGTTTTATTCACCACCTTGTCTTAGAGCGCAAGTACATAAAACTTTGCTCGAACCCTCTGACATTCATCATACATCATCATTGCAATCTGAGTGAATACAACAAATCAGTGTTATTACTAATTCTATCCTTATACGTCTATGCTGCCATGAATAACAAATAACAAAGAAAAGTAGTTTAGCTAGAGTTTTCATTGCCATTCAAAGTTTCATGGTTCGTATCAGCATAAAAACATCAGTGATTTAATTCATCATCAGTGAATGCAAATTTTTCAAAAAGCACATTTGTGCGAGGGATACAACTGTTGTATTGGAGGAAAACCCAATTTTACACATAGAAGTCAACAAAAGATAATTGTAGACTGCTAGTCTTCTTATCTAATCTACTAAAGAGAAGTCGACAACAAAAATAAATCCAAGTCACTCCATATCTGATGCTTGATCCTCATCTAGTCTTGTCTTGCCCTACAAAAGAAAAAGCATATGCATTCTTTCATTGTGCAGGACGGGAAGAGATGGAGAGAAAGATGAGAGGGATCATACACCAAAAGAAAAGGAAGAAATTTTGGAACAAAATAGGCAAAAAGATTGTCTCACTGATTTTAAGTCTTCCAGCCATGATCATCTCACATCACCCCCCTTCTCAGACAAACAAAAAGAAAAGAAAGTTGAAGAATTTGAAACAATTAGGCCATCATTGTAGCCAAAATGTTAAAACTTTTGAGCATGTAAAATGCCCACATCTTAATGCACCTTAATACCTTATGCAAAAATTAAAATAGAAATAGTTAAAAGATAGACTTGAAGTAATGCTGAATGACCCGCATTCCTTAGAATTCTAAGCTAGATGACAAGTAACGAATCACTAAAGGACCCCCGATTTTACTTCAAGAACAAAAGAGATAACACTCTGCAATTAAAGGAAACCACAGTACTCGAACTTCAGACCACAGACAAGCAATCATCAACCAATACACAGAAAGACTACAATGCAAACGTTTTGTCCATTCAATTCACAGCCTTGCTTATGACAATTACGATTGCCAATTGGTTCGAACATCCAAAATTGAACAACTCAATGCACAAACAAAGAACATGAATAGAACAAGAAACAAGTAATCGAGCAGACAAGCAATTTCCAAGTTCAATGCCACAAATAATGCAATTCAGCAAATACCCATCACGAATCATCAATCGAAAAATCGAAAGGAAAAGAGGGAATACCTTCGGGGGTCCAACCGTAGGAGCGCTGAGAGACGGAGAGCATCGAAGTGAGCAATGCAGAGGCTGTGGCTGTGTGGTACGGAAGCATCGTCTCTACGCAGCAGCTCAACTCCACAGGCGACCTTCAAACCAACAAATCACACATTTTTAAAACACAATTCAAATGCATAATTACAATTAATACTGAAAGTGATGAGATTTAGGGATTGATGAGAATTCGATTTACCTGAAAATGCGAGGAGCCGAGAGGCTTTGGGTTGGTTTGGGCACGCGAAATGGTGAGGAGGCTGGTTTGGGTCTGGGGGCGGAGGCAAGCCTCGAGGCCACGGTGGTTCGAGCCGCAGAGGAGCGGAGGACGGATCTGGCGGCGGCGAAGGACGACATGGTTGTGGGCTGGTTGACGGGTTTTGGGGTTTTAGGATTTCGCGAGGCGTGGGAAGAAGGTTTTGGGGACCTTAGAGGAGCGGTCTGGTGTGTTTCGGGTGTATGTCTACTCCTATGAGCGCAGGAGGTGGCATATGATGATTGGGGTACTAAGTAGAAGGCTGTGATTAGGGATTGTATAAGTTCAGTCTCGATCTAACGGTTGTAAGTAGTGTCCTCATCTTCTATGACCCAGTTTGAATCTTCATTACATTACAATTTTCTTCTTTTAAATCTTCAACTTAGTAAAGACAGTTAGTTAAGACAGTGTGTTTGCTTTCTTGCACTCAAGTTTGAATCTCTTTAATTGTTAGTTAGAGTAGTTTATGATAGGATATGAACTTCTCAATCTTGAACTTCAAATGACGACGATGTTTAATTTGTAACTCAAATAGTTAAGAACGTTCACTATACATAAGCAGAATATCTTACTTTGATTAGTCGACTCCATCACTCATATTTTTTCTATTTAAAGAAATTGATAACTTGTCTTTCTTTTTTGTTAATCCAATAAGAAGGAAGATATATTTTGCTTTGTCTATCAAATGGGAAATGCTAAACCTGGTTTTCTATCTAGTTTATTGTTGGGTAAATTACACTTTATACTCTCATGTTTTCGTCCAATTTCAAATTCATCGGGACTCTCAATCAACATGTCAACTGTATAAAATATGGAGTCGCAACGAATAACTCAGTACACAAATGGCTACAGAAATTTGGCACGATAATAAGGAAGTGAAATTTATTTCTCATCGTATGGAAGTGTAGAAATTAGCCTCTGCCATCAAACTTTGCCTTCTTTGACTTGCTCTTGTTCTTACTCCTGCTGATCTTTACTAGAGCACAAAGCAGCAACGGTATGCAGATACGCCGAGACATGTCTACTCGATGTCTCGTAGACACCTCAGAATGCGAACCCCTAATCGAAATCCTCTCGTGCTCTTCGAAGCGAATGGAATTTGGTAAGTACAAACGTCCTCTATCACCCGTTCGAAGCCCAATCAGACGGCCTAGTGACGTGCTGTGGTCTTGGAAGAAGGATGCTGAGGACTAGTTGGGGAATTATACAATCACATTGCATGACAAGGGAACAATTTAGCAATGTGGGAAACCATATCACTTGAAATAAAGTCAGTTAGGATTACCTCGGTGTCAAGGTTGGAGGACGAGAAGGAGGTGAAACTGGCGGAGGGCAAGTGCGAGGACCGGCGCCCTACAACTGCAGCTGGTAAGCTCTCCACCACTCTAAGTCTCACGTTCATAATCTCAAGCCCTAGGGGCCATCCATGGTGCATGTCATGATCCTGGGGATTTAACAGTTCAACGTTTAGCGGATCGCGGATTTACAGAAAGAAATGCAACAGAAAAAATGCAGGTTTTAGGCTCAAATCCCGGTTGTTTTGTTTGTTAAAAATGATCAAAGATTGTGCATGAAAATGCAGGGATTAGGGTGGAAGAGAGGAAATCATCAATAGTAGTATTAGATCCCTAATTGTTATCATTAAAATTAAACCCCATTAGTTGATTAATAAGGATTAGACCTGTAAAGTAGTTGCATTGTTTAGGTCTACCTGCTCTCTATGTCTGCAGCTCAACCAATCTCTAAATTAAAATATAAGCAGGATTAGATTACTGGAAAAGTAAAGCAATCTTAATCTAGCATCAACATGGTACGCATCCAATAATTTTAGGCTAGCAATTTAAAGCTCGTTCTTTAGCCCCCTATACTCCTATGAGTGAAGAGAAAGTAGTAAAATATTCAGTTTGGAGTGCATATGAGCGTCGAAATTGCCACACTAATGTTTTCGATAAACATGTTAGGGAGAAAACTCCAGATGTTATCTAAATCATGCTTCACAGAGAATAATTAAGATATGGAAACTTGAATTTTGGCAAATTAAAAGCTCCAATCATGATCTCTTCAAGCCGAGGGATGAACATTGAACACCATTTCTTTAAAACTAAGTCTTAAGATTGATTAATTACACTATTTTCTTCTTGTTCCTCCTTGAAATTGAACTCATACAGAACGAGCATGCATGTCTCCAGTTCTGCTTTCTTAAGCCGGAAATAATAATTTTTTCAACAAAACCGATCCAATAACAGCAACTGTGAGCCTGTGACCAAAACCATAGCCAGAAGCAAACCATATATCTAAAACTACTATAATCTACGGGGAGGAGATTTGAACTTAGGTACAAGGAGGTGGACACACTGCCCCGACCAACTAGTCTAACCCACATCTGCAGACAGCAGACTGAGTTCAGTTCTCATCAGTCCTATAATGCTATCCAAACACTGAACCAAGAACATAGATAAGATAAGAAACAAACTTGACAAAAGCATTAACAAACAAATACACATTTCGAAATTCGAAAGAATTATAACTCCTTCAGGCAGAATGTGTACTTACGACGTGTGACCATGGCTTGAAGAGCTTGACCAAGAAGAAGAAGGGAGAAGACTATATATTCACAGGAGAACGGAATACCCACACTGATGAGAGAATACGATATATGGAAATACAAGACTTGTTTTGTTTTTATACTTCTTCCTTAAAATAAAAAATACTACATCAGGTGATTAAATGAGCTACGGCCCTACATGTCCAGTTCAACCTTTTAATTTAGCTGCAAATTCACACAACCCCTCAACCTGTCCTATACACAGTTTAACCACTGATCTTGAGGATATTCAAAAGATACTTTCACAATGAACCGTTACCTCGTAAGTCCAGTAGACTTCAACTTAGAATCAAACTCACTACAAATATATATCGTCCTCAGGTCCTTACAAATCAGATTCCTCATCAAATCAACTAGAGACTTAACCCGCTAAACCAATTGCTGAATATTGAAATAATAATTAATAATTATTGAATCCGAGTACAATAATTTAAAAGCCAGGTGGCACTCAAATGGTTAGGTGACTTCAATGAGACGAGAAAATATACTTATTAAGGTAATTACGTCAGGAGGTTGATGAAGCTGTTGAACAATCTCTGCTACCTTTTCCAAAAGCCAACTGCAAATAGATGAAGTAACAGAAGAAATAGGTGATGTTGCAGTTTTTAATTTGGATTGTTAATTATACAAAGAGCTTAAGGGGAGGGATCCCCATTTTTTGAAAAAAATGGGGATTAGTGTGGGGCCCACTTCACATCAAATTTTAACGATCCGAACCGTCTATTTTGTTAGTCTCGATTCATAGATATCCTTGCAAAAATTCAATTCAATCCGAAACCATTTGCCTATTTAATTATCAATATCAAATTTCATATTTTCTTATATAACAAAGTATTCGTTCATTTCCTTGAACCCAATTAGATGTCTTAAACATTTCCAATTTAGCTAATATTTTGCAAGGATAATCTATGAATCGAAACTAACAAAATAGACGGTTCGGATCGTTGAAATTAGATGTGAAGTGGGCCCCACACCTAATCCCCATTTTTTTCAAAAAATGGGGATCCCTCCCCTTAAGCTCTCTGGTTAATTATATATCCTATTTCATATCTGAATTTTTTATGTTTATGGGTTTTTCTAGGAAGTGATTGGAAAAACTGTGGTATCTCTTAAATGAGATTTGGGTGTTTTCTGTTTCTAGATTTTTGTGATTTTACAGATTCACGGCGAGGTGAAAAATTGAGAGAGAACCGACATAACTTTTCGTGTCGATTTCCACAGACGGCGTCAAATGTTGATGCACAAAACCAGAGGTCTTGGAACAACGTAAATCCGATCGTGAATCTGCATGAAATGTAAATAACACAAGATGTATCGTGGTTCACCTCAAGGTTTGGGATACGTCTACACTGGTTATGTATTTATCTGAGGGAGAGAGAGCTCTGAGAGTGAGAGCTTTGAGAGGGGATGAGGAGCCTTAGGAATTGACATTTTCAAATTGTGAGGATGAGAAGTCATTTTATAGAATAAAGACTCCTCACTTATTACATATTTGCCCTTTCCTTTATCATATAATTACATTTAAGTCATCCGAGTATTTGTACGAGATCTATATACGAGGTCCTAAATATGGTATAAACATATCCTTACGTTGGAATCAACCTTATTGATTATGACATGTTAACATTAATCGGATATTTAATCATGATCAAGATCGAATATTGAGTGCAGATTGCTACTCAAAATAATTCGACAGAAACAAAACCATTTTTCGTTTTTTTATACGAGCGACAACGAAAGAACGGAGTAATTGAACCCAGGAGCTTAGTTGGTGCATGATTGGAATTTGGACCTGCATCTGCATAAAGTTGTGGGACATTTCCAAGAACTTTCTAATAGGTTGGAGGGCTGATCATGAACAGTACCGGGGTAAGGGTGGTCCTATTTTCTTTCTATACAATTACGTCAAGTAATATGTCAATCATAATAATCAGATATTGAACTCATGATTCAAATTAGTAAAATCTGAAATTTTTTACTTACAAGTGAACGAAACTGTAAAGCCCTTAAGTGTCTACTTAAACAGTACACCGAGTTCAATTTGTATCCAAAATGGATTATGCATTTATAAGAGGTCAAAATTGCAGATTAAAACAGGCATCTGTAAATTGTAAAAGGACAAGCTCAGCTTTGGCTGTGTTCTTCTGTAACCCGCAGTGACTCGAAGTTTAAGGCCTGCGAACACTACTGTCCACCAATTACCAAAAATGGTATATGGGGTTTTGCCTTTTGATGGATTCAACATCTGGGTTGTTGAACTCATTCACTCGTTACCCTGTTTTGCTATATGTTGCATTGATTTCATGTCCTTGGATTTCAGGAGGGATGCCCTACTTGTACTTCAAGATGATTTCCTGAATCAACAAATGAAGAAACGAACCACACAAGCTGGTGGTCCAGTGATAAATGACAAATTACGAGGCTTTTTCAAAACTAAAAACTGGAGATCTCGGGTTCAAAACCCGTTGCTGGTGCGGAAGTCAGATTTGTGGTCATGGGAATGCTGAAATGCTTCTATGAATCTTTCCAACCTTCGAAATAGATAGATAACTGCGACTTGCCGCTAGTTGTTCGTCTTTAAAATATAAAAAAAACAATATAAAGAAATGAGATTTTGATCATCGATAATCTGAATGAGGGCTAAATTTGAGATAACAAAGCCAAAAGGTCTAAAAGCTAAAAAAATGACATGATTTGTAATAAAAAAACTTATATCCAACCAATGACTAGATTATAATTTTATAACAGCTGCCAGACTTATTTGGCCAAAGAGGTTTCAAACTAGTCAAATGTAGCTCCCTTTTAGCCTCTTTTTTGGGGCCTAGCTTGCAATAATTGATTTAAATTCAATTGTTGGATTTGAAACATTAAAAGGTAGTTTAATTAAAGTATAAATAAAAACTAATTATTAAGAGTGCTATAGTATACGAGTATGTCCTGATATTATTTATTTAAAAATAATTTTTGTAAAACTATAATTATAGACAAAACGGTGTTTACCTTTTTCGATCGGAGATAACTTTAGGGATGGCCTCAGTAGCTTGAGGTGCGATGAGACGAGGAAGGTGAATGGTGAAAAACTGAAAGTGAATGGTGATGAAGAATGATTATTCTGGTAGATCAAGTAGGGACAAAAATGGTCAGAATCAAGTTCCCCGAACGTGGCAAACAAAGATACACAAAGCATTGAAATGACCCGTTTAGACATGCTTTTAAAATGATTGAAAACGTTTTTGATGAAAATATTTTTAGAACCAATCCTTAGTTAAAATGCAAGTAAATTCTGAAAAATCACTTAAAATACTTCCTAGAAAAGCACATAATTGGTGCTTCTTTCAAAAAATACTTCAAGTGCTTTTAGAATCCAAAAATATTTTGTCTAAAAACGCTTTCAGTCATTTTAAACGCACATTCAAACAAATCTGAACTGTTTTCGTCGCCAGCAAGTACCAAGTAGCAAAGTGAAAATCCAACACTACCCCTACCGCCAGCCAAACCCCATTTGCCAACCAAGTGAAGTGACCTGCCTCTGGGAAATCCAAGCCTGGATGCCGACACACTATTTTCCTATCTCATATGCATCCCAGCTCACACATCACTTTTCCTTTATAATTACTAATAGAGAGCACATATTTTTATCTTATGTAAATATTTTGATACAAAATTACCATTTTACCTTTTTTATGTAAATATTGTGTATCAAAAGTAAAGGCAAAATAGAAAATAATGGGGATATGATTGTCATTTTGTCAAAAGGTGCAAAATTACTATTTTGCCCTTATTATGTCAACATTGTGTATTTAAAAGTGAGGGCAAAATTGAAAAAAAAAGGGCAAACAGTTGACAAGAAGGGTTCTCTTAATAGAATAGAATAGATTACTAGTGCTAACGTCAACGTCGCATGCACACGTGAGTTGATCTTATAACTCGAAGCATGCGTGACTCGTTATTAGGATCGGCATTCAAAACGACACACGTGAGCGTGACTGGCTACCGTATATGTCGCAATTTATATGATGAGGGCATATAATTATCATTTGCTGATTAGGCGTGCAAAGTTTGAGAACTGTTAATCAGAATAACCTCAAATTAAACTTAATTAATTAACGACTCTCAATCGTTGATGCAAACCGCATAAGTTGAAGATCGCGGATAAGTTCATGAGAAATGTTTTCTGTTCATAGTGGGCTACATAATGGGTCATTCCCATTTCCCCTCTTGATTTTATGGTATTACTTTGGGCTTGTCATACATAAAGTTAGGCACATTTGGTATTTTCTTGAGACCCATGAACGCAGCGCCACAAAGTATGGGCTTAACTTTCTTCATCTGGTGAACCTCTAACCTCAAAACCATCCTTGGGTTGAAGAAAAGTTCATCGGCCTGCAACTTAGAGTATCACACACGTATGGAGGGTTCATATTCAATTGGATCCAACCCTAGAAGGTTTCATACTTTGGTATTGGAGGGAACCAAAATTGAATACTTTGATGTCTGTTTCTTTTTTCTTGTGATATCACGAGAGGTGAAACAATAAACGCGAATATTACATGATGAGGAAGATAAATACATCATACACGCGAAAGATAAAACATACACAAAGATCACGCGAGTAAAGAGATTAGCCACAAGTTTCGCGTAAAGAAAGAAACATATACAAAGTTACAAACACTTCGTGACAGTTAAGTTATTTAACAATACTTGCACTCCAATTTCTTTAATCCTTGAGCAGGCAGTCAGGCTTTTGTGTTAAGTATATTTTCATTCGATTTTATATGTTACTTTACAGTAAGATTCTAAGTATATATACATATAGAGAGAGAGAGTGTGTGTGTGGGGACCTAACAGTAGTGGGTGGCTTCCGTCCCACATTTTCCCTCATCATCAGTGCTGGTACTGCAGCAGATGCAATTATATACTATAATTTGGATCTATAGCAGTACAATTTGGTGAAGTGGGCATCCATATAAAGGCACATTACCAGATTTGCAATAGAAAAACGATAAAGAAACATTCAAAAGTTAGACTTTTTATAGACTTTTTGTTATTTTATATTTTTTGCATAATATTTTATAATGATGATATGTGCATTAACGTTAAATTGTGAGATAACAGAGAGTTCATAAAGAACCCCACTTTGAAAGAGTCTTCTTAGCATTCTCTTTGCAAAATTGCTTTTGCTGCTAGAGAAAGCAGTTACCCCTATTTGGTCCCCGGTTGATTGGGTTAGCTTATGAGATAAATGCCACATGCATGCCTTTCTTGCATGGATGGGAAAGATAGAAAACTCAATGAAACCAAACTAAAATTTGAGAGCTATAAGTGACATTCCGAAATAGTTATTGCACACTCTTTAAAATACAGTTTCCTTGTTATGCTGTTCAATACAAATAACTTATTTGGAGCGTTGATAATAATTTCCTTTAAATTTTGACAGAGACTTTAAAGTGTTTTGATTTCTAGCTAGCTTTTCTCTTTAATTTTTGCTGTTTTGGATGGCCAAATTGCAAAATAACTTTATCTCCTAGAGCAACTGCATACCCTATGAATGGTCCCAATCACGTGAGCTAGTTTATAACATATAACCCAGGAGGATCCTCTAGGGATCCTTAAATTGTGTCTGTTCATTGTATATCGTGCATCCAGTTTTTGTCAAATACTATTCATATTTAATTTAAAATAAAAATATTTAAAATAATTTTTAACCGCACGATGTACGATGAATTGACATGATTTGAGGATCCCTAGGATCCTCACCAAGAGGATCCCTAGGATCCTCACCAAGAGGATCCTCATTCACATATAACTGCTTATTAAAATGCATCCATTGGGTGGTATATTATGATTAATGGATTGATGTATGTTTCAAAAGGTGAATAGCCATCTCTGATACCATACTAAAAATGCGAACATCGAACTCAAAACCAACAAGGATGAATGAAGAGACGAAAATCATTTAACCTAAAATGCAAGGCCCTAATTCCTCGACATGGATTCACAATTTCAACATAACATGGGTACTATGTCAACCCACATACCTGTAATCGTGTTTACATTTGCGTATGAAGAATGAGGATTTTCATGGTCTTGTATGAGGCATAAATCTTCTCAAGATCTCACTGTTTATAACTCAAGGACTAGACTATACATATCACTCAAATTGAATTTGACGCTCCTCATTAACTTGTTTTGCTAACCTACCTAACACAAATAAATTTTTTTTGTCTCTATCCCACAAACCAAAGATCTAAATTCTTTGGTCCTTAAACTCTGTACACTGACGTTCATAGCGGATCTAAATTCGTATTGTATGATACTTTTCTAAAGTAAATGATATATCCATCCAAACAAGGGGGAAAAAGATAAAGTTTTTGGTCAAAAGATTGAAGTACCGAAAGCTATTATACTCTTTTCACCAACTAATTAGTGGAAAATTAACTTAAGCCACGTTGAAAACTTGAAAGCAACGTTGAGTATTTAGTCTACTAGTAATTCGATCGTTGTTAAGCTTTCAAAGAGACAAATTAGCGGTCTACTACTCATTAGTCTAATATCGACGTTGTCCAAAACTTAACCATCTGCAAAAACACTCTTTTACATTAAAAACAACCAACCAAATTTGTAAATCAAACTAAACCCACTAAAATCTGTTGTAGCAAGAAGCTAATATATATTTTATTGGCTCTTTCATAGTCCACAAACTTGATCTTTCTCAAAGCATGAACACTTGAGCATTTTCATGCAAAAATAGAGACAATATATATCATAAATAAACATTAGAAAAACCATTTATCTATCTTTAATCATGTTCTTTTGTTTTCCACTCAAACATATTACCATACATACGTATCAAAACACAGCAAAGTGGTACTACTCAAAACAAGTCTCATGGCACGAACTGATCTTCGCTCTGTTGCTCCTCCTCAGTCTGGTACTCTTCCATGGAGTTATAGGTGTTCTGATTCGCATTTCCGTTGCCGTAATTACGCCTGTTATTGTACCAGTTTTTCGAGTCCACAACCCTAGAGTTTCCATACTGGTTCTGGTTGTAGTTGTTCTCGCTTCTCGCGTCGTAGTAATACTTGCCGTTCTCCAAAAACCTAGTGTCACTCATCCCCTGCTTCTCAAAATTGTAGTAGTTGTTGTTCTGGTAGCCGTTCGGGGTGGCGGTGGTGGTGGTGTAGCTGCTCTGACCGAACCTCGTGTCGCTGAGGCCATTAGGGTTGGCCTCAAAGTTGTTGTTGTTCTGGTCGTTGTTAGGGGTGGCAGAGGTGGTGGTGTAGCTGCCTTGAGCGAACCTCGTGTCACTGAGGCCATTAGGGTTGGCCTCAAAGTTGTTCCCATTGTAATAGTTGTTTTTGTTGGGATTGTAGTGGGTGTTGTACCTTTCGGGGTAGTTTGTAGTGTGCTGCTTCTCTGTCTCGGTGGCGTAGGTGGCAGGAGGCAGCTGGCCGGACTCATGGCCGTAGAGGCCGTATCCGTTTTGAGTCTCTTGAACAAAAGTTGGCTCTAGCTCTTTTTCTGGATTGAAAACAGGGGAATCTGTTTTTGGAGTCTCTGTTTTTGGGGACTCTGTTTTGGGGAGCTCTGATTCCTTCACATTGTTGCTGTTGGAGCTGGCGACTTTGCTAAAGAATTGGCTGTCTCTGGCTTGAGCTTGGAGAGAGAAGAGGATGAGAGAGAGGAGGAAGAGGAGAGAGAAGAATTTGGGAGGAGGAGGAGCCATGAGTGGCAATTGTTGTGGGAGGCAACTGCTGTGATGTGAAGTGAGAAGTGTGGGAGTGTTGTAGTGCAGGGAGAGCTAGTGGGTATTGCATTGTTTATATAGAGGACCTTTTTCTTTTTCTCCACCAATTTTTTCAACTCATCAGGTGCAAAATGGGGTGGAGGATGAGTGATGGTTTCTGGTCCCCACTTTGGATACAATTGAGCACTTTGCTCCTTTTTCCAGTTAGTAAGTTTTTTTTTTCTTTGTTAAGACTATTGGAATTGTTTGGAATGAGATCATTTCCAAATCTTTGCCTCAAAGCAGACGGATTCAGAAATTTAGACCATTTGATTTAACTTTTACGGTTCTATGAACCCATTTTATTGGCCTAACTCACGCACAAACTCACGCCCTCATCTCCTCGTCTCTCTCTCTCTCGAATGGCCTGGTTTTTCAAGCCCATCTAATCCTGAGGTAGAGATATGACGATGATCTAATTTCGAATTGTTTGGCTCTTTAGACTCTATTTCATTGATTATTCATGTTAAAAATTGATCTCATCCCCGTTAGCCACATTCCCATTTTAATTTTATCTACAAAAACCTGTCATTTGGCTTTAAACTTGTTTTATAAGAGGAGAAAAACTTAAGTAGAGACACCTCAATGACGTTATCTGTAAAATATTTCTCACAAAAGTATAAACTCTCTTTGTATTTTAGTGTCCACCCGACCTCATATTAATGTGAGAAATGCACTAGTAAAACAGCACTACCGAAGTTTTTCTTCTTTAATACGGTGTAATAAGCATTTGCTAACAGAAATTTGCTTATGACCATTGATTATTCTTTCATTCTAAGCAAGCCGATTATATGATAAGATGAATGAGAACAACAACAACCCAGCTAACACAATTAATAAGGGAATGTGAACTTTAATTGAGGGTGCTCATGATGTCCCCTAAAGCTGAGGGAAAAAAAGAAGAAGGAAGGATGCAATCTGCATTGCAATATCACAATTCACAAAGGATCATTTTGGAAGGAAAAAAATGCAAATGGTGACGGAAGAGTTGAGTACCTCTCCGGACCTCACTGTTCGGAGGCTAAAAACTAACAAATTTGGACTGTTCAAGAGAGAGAGATTCGGGCTCTTGATTTGTGTGAGATGATCAGTGAAATAAGTTAATGAGGACTATCAAATTTAATTTGAATAGTCTGAATTTACTAATTTTAGGTTCCGAACAATGAGATCCAGAGGATGTCAACCTCGTGCCAAAGAAGAAGCATGACATCGACATCATTGATATGGCCGTGTAATTATGCGTGGATTGTGGTGTTGGTAGGGCAGACACAGCATATGATATCATATGGTGCACGCAGCACTTGTATGCTTGGTCAAATTTACCGGAAAAGCAGACTACTGCCACTGAAGATTGATTCGTGTTCTAATCTTGACGGTGGAGGTGATTGTGATGGTATGTCAATCACGCGTATTAACGTAATAGTGCGTGATTGGTTTTGCAATGCTGTCATATTAGGTTATGCAATTTAACTTTGTATTTAGTCATTTACGCTGCATAACTACAAAACTCAAATGAATTAATTATGGATAGAAACTTCGTAACAATCTCATCTGTCATATGGTCCAAAAATAGTGACTAGAAGATGGATATATACTTCATAACATGCTCATCTGCTAATATTTACATCCCAACTATTGCATTTATCTATTAGTTAGGGGCCATTTGATAACTATTTCGTTTTTTAATTTTATTTTTCACTTTTTAAGAAACTAAAATCTTGTTTAATAACTATTTTCAGATTTCAAAAAAAAAAAAAAAAAAAACGAAAACAGAAAACCAAGAAGTAAAAACTCAAGAAAATAGTTTTTCAACTTTTAGTTTTCATTTTTTTTTAATAACTAAAAGTAGTTACCAAACAAGGCTTTTATTTGCAGTTTTCAAAACAGTGAAAACCAAAAACTAAAAACTAGAAATGAAATGATTATCAAACAACTCTTAAATTATTAAGTTATTACCATAAAAGCTGAAAAAATAAAGATGATATTGAAGTTTTTGTGGTTGGTTGCATCTTCTTCAATTCCAATTTATGTCACATTTTATTATTTTTACAGGTGAATTTTTAAGGGAAAAAAAAGGGTGGAAGGTTAAAAGAAACTTCTTCCATGATTATATATGCACCACCAGCTTCTGCCTTCCCCACCAAAAACCCTAGACCATTTCAATTGGTATCACAAAGCCAAAAGAAAGGAAGGAAGAAAAAGAAAAGCCTATTTAGCACCTTCCTGGCAGAAAATAAAGGCAGAAAATAAAGACAGAAAAAAGGGGTTGGTCTTAAAGCAGTAAATAAAACTTTTGAAAAAGCTGCCTCAAATGGTGAAAAATTCACACAACATTGTCTTTAATTAACCTATATATGATTTCCCATTTCCCATTATGTAAGTTTGTTTTCTGTAGTTACCCAATTCAAATTTAAACATTGCATACTTAACTTCGATTTTCTAGAGTAAATGACTAGCGGACAAAATTTTTACCTGAAACGAGAATGTACTCTTTTCGTAATTGATTATAAGTGAGAAATATACAAATATCATATTTCTCCGTTGTATGTAAGTTGCACTCAACTTACACCAACAAAGAAAATGACTTTAACTACCACTAGGTAGTCCAATTGTCACATCTCGGCCCAGACCTCCACCACATCTTGAGCTCGATTCTGCCGTAGCACAATATTGTCTGCTTTAAGCCCCTACCACATCCTCACTGTTTTGTTTCTAGAAACTCACACGAGAACTTCCCAGTGGATTACCCATCATGGGATTGCTCTCGCGCGAACTCGCTTAACTTCGGTGTTCCGATGGAACCCGAAGTTAGTGAGCTCTCAAAAGACCTCGTGCTAGGTAGAGATGAGAATATATATATAAGGCTTACAGGATCCATTCCCCTAGATGATATGGAATGTTACACCAACGATTAAGGATGAATTCTAGCCCGTATTTCACACGGCATGTCTTGGGTTTGATCCCTAACACGATAGTGGTCAAGAAGAGGCTGAAATGTCTCTGTCAATCTTTCCGACCTCGAAAATGTAGATTGTCGTGACAAAGTCACCAGCTGATTTTTTTTTGAAAAAATGACGTTAAACCAGTGACCTACATTGGCAATGACATTTGGTATCAAGTTTTGCGCGTGGTAAGTGGTGTGTGCCAACTAATGTGAGTAGCCATGTGAGAATAAGTCTTCAGTGTTTGGTTACAGCAGTTACAGATTGAAGCAACTGATTGACGCAAAGGTGGGCCAATCAGTCCCCTTTCTCTCTTCTTCCATCTTCCTTCCTCATTGGGGAGGAAATTAGGGTTCTTCTTCCTCAACCACCACCATCCCTTAGACTGAGGACAAAGGAATATAATAATTAAACAATGGAACATGCTTCTGTCAACGTTTGTGCTTGACAAAGCACCCAAAACCCCTTTTCTTTTTCTTTATGTTTAGTACACTTTTCTTTTTCTTTTTCTTGGATGATGTGAAACCTGTGCGCCATTTGCGGTAGCATAGTTTTAGGGGTGTGCTATCCACACATCATTTTTTACTTTTCACACATCCTTATTAATTTATGTCCGTTGATCTTCTTCATTTCATCCGATCTGACGGCCGAAAATTAAAAGGGTGTGTGAGAAGTAAAAAGGGGTGTGTGGATATCACATCCCTAGTTTTAGTGTTTCTAAGGGGATCTCCGGATCTTGAATTTTGGAGCCAACGAATATAGAAATTCGGATTGTTCATGGAAGAGAGAGATCTGAACTTTTGGCTTGTGTGATGTAAGCTATTAAACGGACTAATGAGGCAATAAGATTTAAAATAAATGGTCCGAATATTTGAATCCGTTGGCTCTCAACACAAAAATTTAAAGAGGATCGCAATTACTCAGCGTGCCTTTAGGACTGAATTCGTTTTGCTAACCGGGTGTCTATCACTCTCATATCATCACGCCATAGGGTTTTATGTTTCTCATCTCAAAGTGTGTTTTTAGACAAGATTATTTTGCAACCGGTTTTATGTCCTCGCATTTATCTTTCTCATTCTTCCTAACGTACTATATAGACATAGATAGATAAAAACAATAAAATATGAGAATTTTAACGAAAAACTTCCCATACGGTTCACTTTAACGAAAAATCATATTTTTACACTAAAAAGTAAAAAATCAATCATGATACTATTCACTTTACCATTTATTTTATTCTTATCGTGAAAACTCAAAATTTTCAAATCATTTTTATCAGTTTTCTTAAAATATAAAACCAGTAACAGATAAAGATTCTCCATTTCTATTTGCTATTGTATTTCTTCACTTTTTTCTTGTTGTCCCTTTCTTTTATTTTTTTATTGCAGAGTAGCTTAGTAGAGTAAGTGGAGGAGCAAACCGTCAAAATAAACAACACAGATATCTGTAAAGACTACTGATTTCAGCTGAAAGCTAAGCTAGTACAAATTCATTCTTTTATACATCCCGTAAACATAAATAAAACACAGATTTCCCAGAAACCCAGATACAAATTAAGATAAAATTAACAAGAACCACTTTTGGCCAGGCTAGTACAACTTCATTTTTAGGGTAGGGATTTCCGTGTCACCACTCGTCCGCGCAAGACTCAAGAAAAACTCCCTGTATTCGGATCCCACACGGGTTCATGTGGGCAGGTCCGAATGCAGGAATCTTTGTATGTCTTGAGTGAAGGGATAACGCGACACGGAAGCCTCTACCCTAAAATTTGTCTAATTTTCGATACTAGGGTCCCAAAGAAGAAGAAAAAACAACAACATATTGGGAACCAAAATAGGAAGCAAAGGATTCACACTACTACCAAGTCGTTTTCTCCTCATCCTCTTCCTAAACCTTTCTATCATCTGCTCCTCACCCCACTGAGCTTCCTCTACGCCCTTTGCAAGGACCAATGGCGGGGGCAGCTGGTAAGGGCACTTGGACCTCCAGGAGGTCTGGGGGAGCCCTAATCTGGAGACCCTTTTGAGGAAGAGGGAGATGGCAAATTGGAGGTGGATTGGAGGGAAGGCGGATTTGGTGCAGAGGATTGGAGGGTAGTCCCAGTTGAGGTAGCAGGGGATTTGGGTGGCGATGAAGAGCTGGGAGTGGGGAGATGGTGCGGTTGTAGGGTTGATTAGGATGTGGGTTAGGGCATTGAGTTTTTGCTCCCATGTGGTGTCCTCCATTGTTTTGGTGCTTATCCTTCAACCATCTCAAAGATAAGGTTGACCTGGGGAGAGAGAGGCCAAAAGGGTGGTTCACATTTTAGCAAAGAATAAAGGTTTCTTAATGTGGTAAGATTTCAATTCTATTTCATTAAGAACTTTATATACAAGCGATACTGGAAAATGCGAAAAATGGAACTCGGAATCTTAGGGGTAAACGTGTACGCGATTTGCAAACTTTTGAAATTTGATATAATATCTTCGGGATATATGGTGTTTTTTTTTTTAAATATATACGATATTATCTACACTAAGGATGTAATGAGTGTAAATTAAGCCTCACAATAGGCTAGCCTAGCTATGATAATTTAGTTGGAATTCGTTTTGGCAAGAATCAAACTTAAGACCTCTCACTTACAAATGAAAAAAGAATACAACTAGATCATAGTACTAAGTGGTTGCGCACAAAAAAGATGTATGTAATGGTGACACATCCCAACTTAACGTTGCAAGAGTAACTTGGGATACCGCCATAATAGCTTTACCATTATAGGTAGAGTTTCTCTCCTACGCATGAGGTCGTCTGTTCAATTCTCCCCAGCGTCTCTAAACTTCACGGCCAAGGTGATCAAGTTGGTCGGACTTGCAGTCGATTTATTAAATGGCTGATTCTTTTTATACAAGCAATACCAGAAAAGAGAGGAAAGTCAAACTTGAACACAAGACGATGACACCTAAATGCTATTAACCACGTGAGCTACAAGCCTCCAAGCCCCTTGCATCAGATACATCTTTGAAATATTATACAAGGAGAATTCGACATTTGATTCGTTTATGGAATCGTTACATTCGCTCTTGTAGGCATTGACCTATGTGTAAAATGTTACAATTTAGGCCAATATAATGCTCCTGGAAACAATAGCTATCAAAATTACCTGTTAGAACGTAATCAAAATCTCGAATATTTCTTTCGTTCAGTACTTGTAACGGTTTCAACTAATGGAATTTTGATGAGAGCAGCATCCAAGCACTCATTATCGGGAAGGTAATTACTGCAGAAGCCTGGAAAATAGCAACTTCGATTAAGGGTAATATCACAAGAAAATGCTTCGACGTGAATGTATTTCTTCAGAAAAAAAGCTGTGACAGAAAGGAGAACAAAAATATTAAAGAGGAAAAAGACCGAATACATACCATAAAGAAAACTAATTCCTCGTGGGCGAGGGCTGCGGTAAATTCATTCTCTTCCAGTTTGTCTTTGATGAAATGTTGCAACTGCGTAAACAAAGTTAAGGTTTTCCGGAA